AAGGTGAGGGATGTCATCATGGAGACTGATGAAACAATGGTCTCTTTTGATGTCACATCACTCTTTACGTGCATTCCTGTTGATGATGCAGTAGAGGTGGTCAGTTTAAGATTAAAATCAGACACCACTCTGAGCAGCAGGACCACGCTTTCCACAGAACAACTGTGTCAACTCTTGAAACTGTGCGTGCAGTCAACCTACTTCACATATGGGGAGCAATATTATAGGCAGAAACATGGGTGTGCTATGGGGTCTCCAGTTTCTCCTATTGTTGCCAACCTGTACATGGAGGAGGTAGAAAAGAGAGCCTTGACGTCCTTTTCAGGGACACCACCAAGTCATTGGTTCAGGTATGTTGACGACACCTGGGTTAAAATTAAATCTCAGGAAGTCCAACATTTTACTGACCACATCAACTCTGTGGATAAATACATCAAGTTCACACGAGAAGATGTAAAAAATGGCAAGTTGGCTTTCTTGGACTGTGAGGTCTCAGTCTCGGATAGAGGACATTTGCAAACCGAGGTGTACCGCAAACCCACCCACACAGACCAGTATTTGCAGTTTGACTCCCATCACCCTTTGGAGCACAAGTTAGGAGTCATCAGGACTCTGTACCACAGAGCAGACAGCGTCCCCACTAGCTCAGGAGCCAGGCAGAAGGAGAAATCCCACACAAGACAGGCTCTAGAGCAATGTGGATATCCTAACTGGGCCTTCCTGAAAGCAGAGAAGAAACCCAAACAGGACTCCAGTCAGCCATCAGGTGAAAAGGAGGAACCCAGACCCAGACCGGTGGTCATTCCGTATGTTGAGGGGGTATCAGAGAAACTGAGACGTTTATTTTCTAAACATAACGTCCCAGTGGCTTTTAAACCCCAAAATACATTACGGCAAAGACTGGTTCATCCCAAAGATCCAGTCCCCCGGCACAAACAGAGTAATGTTGTGTATGCTGTTCAGTGTCAGGAGGGCTGTGATCAGTCTTACATCGGGGAAACAAAACAGCCACTGGCCAAAAGGATGGACCAGCACAGAAGATCAACATCATCAGGCCAGGACTCTGCGGTCTACACTCATCTCCTGGCCAGCGGTCACTCTTTCAAGGATGAAGATGTTCACATCCTGGACAGAGAGGAACGATGGTTTGAGAGAGGAGTAAAGGAGGCCATCTTTGTGAAAAGAAACCGTCCATCATTAAACAGGGGTGGAGCCTCCGGGTTCAACTGTCCCCCTCTTACAATGCTGTGATTGCTAGTATCACTCAGCCCTCTGTGAACAGTAAACAGCCATCAGGTGCTAATGATCCATTGTTATGCTGATGGTCCTTCTTGAGCATGTTATCAGCTGGTTTTGGTTGTCAGCAGCAAAACTGGTTGATCCACTCTGAGAAGATGCTATTTAAGAGACTGAGCTGAATACAGCACCTCAGACTGAGGAAGTCTCTTGGATGAGAGACGAAACGTTTCTAGAATTTTTTTTGCTTTGTTTTGCTTTTGTTTTTTTGAATGTCCAGAGGACCAGATTGAACTTTTTTGGAAATAAGACAATGGTATTAAGAAATGAAACAAAAACAGCTAGGTTGTAAAGTGATAATAAAATACACAAAGTACAACATGAAATTTTATTTTTTCATTTAGCCTTTATTTATCCAGGTAGTCTCATTGAGCCACGAGAACTCATTTTCAAGAGAGACCTGTTTAGGAGCAGATGGGGGGGTGGGGTGGGGGCTAAGGGCCTTGCTCATGGGCCCAGAGTGGGGCGAAGGAGGGTGGGGGCAGGCGTGGGTGTTTCACCTACCCCACCCACAATTTTGATGTTGTCGGGGCCGGGGCGTGAACCGGCGATCTTCGGCTCACAGGCCCACCTCTCTATTCCAACTGTTTCAAAAGTAATCTAAGAAAACCAGCAAACTGAATCAAATCTTTGCTGTGATGTATTCATTTCCCTCTCCTGAGCAGCACTTTGGTGACAGTCGAAAGGAAAGAGCCACTTTTAGCAGGAAACCCCTCCAGCAGAGCCAGTCTCAGGACGCACAGCCGTCTGCCCCTCCAGCTGGGACTTGGAAGAACAGGAAGGAGACGTAAACAAACCCGGATACTTTCTATGGGAAGAATAATTTTTGATTTGCCCCAGAAAACTTCTGGTATATTTGACTTGGTTTATTTATTTAATTATCTATTTATTGGCTGTTTTTAACTATGGTTTACTGTTTATGAAACATAAACATTTATGTATAAATTATGATTATGATAAATATTGTTTTTTAGCAGCACAATTAAGCTACCTAAAGGTCATTGGTGTGTTGAAAGTAGCTTTTAATTGATAATTGATAAGTTTTAATTTTAGAGCCAAATTAGTGTTAATAAAACAGATTATGTACAGTGATAAATTTCTAGCCAAAACCCAATGTTGAGTACTAATATTCAGTGGTGGGCACAGCTAACCAAAGAGTTAGTTTCACTAACCACTAATTTGCTAACTAAAAATTTTTGTTTCACTAACTCTAAACAGATTTAAACAAAAACAGCAGAAGCTACCACTAAAGCTCTAACTTTAATCACACACTGCTGCTGAAGACCGTAATGTGACAACGCTGTAAGTGAACGCAACTCAAAACGCTTCATAAATCACAAGTAAAGCGTCCACGTCCTGTTACAAGTGAACTTTCAGAAATAAGTCCGGTCCATCGGAACCAAAAAGGCTGTGCTGAAGCAGAGCGATGCATTCAATGTGCGTCGGACATCTCCCTCGTGTCATTTACTCAAGTGAATCGGCTCACTTTGGTGACACTCTTTGTGGTTAACTACTTTTATAAACTAACTGCAAAGTTGCTGTGTGTCATCTTCAATATTCTGTCGGTTATAAATCTGTTTGTATTCAAGTAAAGATGTGCAAGATGTGTGAGAGTCGCATCCTTGTCAAAGAGATTGATGATCTCAATGGATTTGTTCCTGGTAAAATAAAGTAATAAAAAATAAAATAAAGCCCTGCAAGGTTTATTATGTCCGGGTGCTGGTTACCTTTGCTTAGCGCTGTACAGCATCTCTCTGTGTAAATCACCGTTCTCCTTTATGCTTTTAGTGCGGACGACTGTCTTTTCTAAAACATTTCATACTTGTCTAACAAGGTTAAGAGGATGTTTACACGGCACGTGTTTTGAGTGAAACCGCACCTTTGTCACTGGTTCTGCTGTTCATTTATACAACACAACACTAGTGCCCCCCCCCCCCCCACACACACACACACACACTTTGAATCCGGAGGTTTCTCCACCCACCTCAGAGTGGAGGTTTTCGGGAGACCTCCCGCTGATCTTGTAAACATCTCCCGCAGAGATATTGTGTTAAACTACATGTGCACGCGCAGCCCGACGGCATGTTTTTATCAACAACAATGGCGGCAGAGTATAACTTGTATTGTTTTCTGAGCTATGATTGATGGAATATATTCTGGGTCTCGTAGTTAATCTACACCAGATTATAGCTGCCGTGACCCACATCTGTGTTGGGAAGAGACGCCCGTCGCATCCAGTTCTAAGATCTTTGTTCATTGAACGAGACGGGCAGATATTTCACACTGCACTGTAGCATCCTAAACGTGCTCAATAATAACAGTTTATTTATTTATTTAAACTATTTTTCTTCAAATTCTATGTTTTTTCTATGGCTTTAATTCTTGTGCCATCTTGGTGTTTTTGTAGGAATTTTGCAGCATCCAGATGGGACAGTTCTGAAGCAAGTCCAGCCTCCACCAAGAGGACCACGAGAAGTTCACTTTTATAACATGGTAATGTCCAAAAATACATTTCATGGCAAATGTTTTAGTTTCTATGTCTTTAATTACATCTTTTATTGGTTTTAAGTTAATCATATGTTTAAAGTAAACTCTACCAGCTCGTAATCAGCTCGTGTTACAGAATTTATGAGTTGTGTAAAATCAAAGTTCAGTGTAGAACCAGTCGAGCAATTTCAAAGAAACCTCACCTGAAAATATTGTACATCGTGTGACAACCTTGCTTTTTTCTTTAGCAGTTTTAAGATATGCCTTTAGTGTAAATTCATTTTTTCCAATACCACAAGATGTTTCTTTCATACCATTCCTGTGACGCAGTTTGCTTACCAAGATGTCAGAGATGGTGTGGATAGTTTTCTGCTCTTGCATCGCTCCTCCTCCCCCACCTGGAGCTATAAACTGTCAGCGGTAATTGAGGAAGGAAGTTACCTTCATTTTTTCCTTATTTGAAAAAGATGAAGTCAGCTGTTCAAAACTGTTTCTTGTAGGAAACTAGAGACTTTACTTGTCTAACGAGGCGACTACTAGAGCCTGACCGATACGGACATTTTATCTATCACAGATACGATATTAGGAGGGAAAGGTGCCCAACAATAACGGAAATAATGGCTGAAATTTTTTGAGCTTTGTCCAACCCCAAGAATCTACCATGAGTAAACAGTGAGTGGAGCGGGACTTGTTTATTTAGTGCAACTGTTAGCAACCATGAAGCTAAGCTAATCAGATCCATACGTAGACCCAGTAGGTTAGTGGTGCACTGGTCATAAAAACAGTCTTCCTAACATGCGTTCACATTTTCTATCCTCCACTATTCACAATAAAGTTATCAAGTGTGTTGCATAAATATAAATTAAACAAAGAAACACCCTCACTGTTCATTGTTTAAACAGTCAGACACGTATAGTGAGGGTCAAATTTTTATTGACCGCAAAAGGTTTCAGACAAACTATGCATTTCATTGAGGACAGCAAAGATAACATTACTAACACTGATATTTAACATTACTAACACCGATATTTAACATTACTAACACTGATATTTAACATTACTAACACTGATATTTAACATTACTAATACTGATATTTAACATTACTAACACTGATATTTAACTTTACTAACACTGATATTTAACATTACTAACACTGATATTTAACATTACTAACACTGATATTTACCTCTACGTTACATTTATTGGATACATTTTACAAGGCAATAGCCTATGCTAAATTATCTAAACATTAGCTTGCTAACTTGAGAGGCATGGCGCTAATGACAAGCAAGTTGGAGGATTGAAGAGAAAGTATTTATTTTTTATTTTTTGTGGTTTTTATTTACAGATCAGTTAAAATAAACTTGCCATGCTCTGTTCAGCAAAATATGGTACACAATATTGTTCCCTGCTTCGGCTGTGCTGAAAGTGAAACTTAAAGTGAACGGCCATGACTTGAAAGTATTCTTCATGCGCCCTCTGCTGGATACATTGTACAATTACGGCTGGTTCCAGCATTTTAGGGGTGAAAATTAGAAGTTTTTATACCTGCTCATAATAGGACAATTATCACCAATACCGATATGTCTCCAAACACCTATTTTGGCCTAAAATATCAGGCCTACTTATAAACTGGTCGGGCTCTAGTGACTACCATCTGTTTTATGGTAAGAGTTTTGAAAAAACTCATAGCTTGTTGTAAATGTTTTAACATGTTTATAAGTCTAACAAAACGCCACCTGCATGTTTCTTTCTTAAAATAACCCAGATAGTTATTAGGAACATGCAGTGTTTTTTTTTTTTTTTTTTAAATATTCAAAGTCTAACTAGAATGGGTAAATTCAAAAAATTATTGCATCCATCAGTCGTCTTTTTTTCTTTCTTTCTTAAACTGGCACTTGACAGCGACAAAACAAGCAGTTCTATTTCGTATAGGCTTTGCCCTTTAAGAGCTGTCGCTTAGTGGGGTTTATCCCGTTATGCGAAGCATTGCACTGAAAAATTTAGTCCACGCCCACCTGCTGTGTGGGCCCCACCTGGTCCGTATAAATTACGTTAAGAGCGGGAAATCGGCTCCCATTTTTTTCTTCAGCAAGATAATAGCACTGTCAGAAGAACGAAGGAGGAAAGTTGTGTAGATGACCAACCTTTGTTAAGAATGCTTGGTCGTCCGGTGAGTTCTCCTCCCCGAGGAGAAGCTGACGAGCAGTCTTATTTCAAGGTAAGCGCCGAGGAATATTTCTCAGTGACAGGTCACTACACGCTGGACAACGCCATCTTGTAATTTTCCTCTTCTCGCCGACCCTCGGAGCGAATCGGATGGTTCCTCCGGGACAGGCGGCGCTCAGCTGCAGCCCCCCGCTGCTCATTCCCTCCTGGAGAGCGTAGTGTCGGTGGAGGGGGGCTGAGTGAATGCTCACCCCATCCCACCTTGTTTCGCATCGGCGATCACACCGCTCCCGGCCGACGGCACCCTCAGGGGTTGCCCGGCATAACCCAGGAGGCGGCTGACACGAAGGGACCTTTTTTACGTCCCACGCCTTTCCCGCCAGTTCGGATGATCCTGCGGGAAGGTTGTTTACTGGGTTCCATTCCGGCTCACCGTCTTGATCCACCTGGCCTTGTTTTCCCAACAGGACGTCCTACGGGCGAGGCCACAGACGGTTTTTTCCTGGTAGATTGGGGGGCCGGTCTCCACAGTCCGCACCCGTCTCCAGAGCAGGGGTTCACTGAGCGTAAAGTCCCTCCGTGCCCCCTGGAGCCGAGCCTGATGGAGGCTTCATTGGAGCAAGATGTCGAGGTGGACCAGCGTCCCGTGCCTCCGGTTAGCGTAACCAAGACGGTGACACCGCTCTCCAACTGAGCTCACCAGCATGTGTTCCACACGGCCGCAGCGAACAACACGTTACGCTGTTGGCGTACACGTTCAGAGGCGGGAAGAGACGGTGGCCCTCTGTCCTTCGGCTCGCTCCGCTCTCGTAGCGGCTGCTTGCTAACGATGCTATCGGTCCCTGCAGTATGCTCCGTCTACAGGGCAGCTGACGTCACCCTCAACCAGTGCGCCTCTTTTGCTGTCTGCCGCCCTGCATCGCAGCCGGAGAACGAGGTCCCAGAGGTTTTCCTGGCTCGTCACTCCACCTTCCTCTCAGGAGAGCTGCAGAAGCTTTGTTGGAGGTCCTCTTTTCATCAGCGAGAGATCATTTCAAGATGCTCCACGGCTGCACAACACCTCCCCAGCTCTGCTACGCCAGCCCCTCCCATCAGACGTCCCCGGCATCCGGAAGTTCATTTTTTTCCCGGACTTCGCCAACAGGGGGCCCTCCAGGACAACAAACAGAGCTCAAGGGAGGATAACCAGTTGCCGGGTTGCTGGAGGTGTGTTGATAACGATGTGAAATAAACATCATTTTATGATGAAGTGTCCTTTAGCCAGGCTGTCGGCATGGATTATCTGACAAGCGGCCCCATCACACACACTCATCACCAATGAGCCTTTTTAAGGTTGTTTTTCATTCACTGTCAGCGGTGCCGATACGCGCTCCCGCGGCATGAAAGCGCGCACGCAGCTCTCAGCGCCCGCCGTTAACGTGAGACCGCGGTACGAGCACAGCATCATATCTCGCTCTCGGCAGGAGCGACACACATTTTTCATCGCAGTGGTGTCAAACGCGCGCTCCCGCGGCGTCAGCAGTTTCACAAGCCTCACAGCAGCTCTGCTCCTGCATCCTCGAAGAAGGTTTTCTGAATTAATACTGCAGCTCGTGGAATCACTCAAAAGTTCACATGACTCGCAGCCAAGAATGAACGTGTTTCTGCAGACCGAGCCAGTGGTAGCCTCGCTCCACCGATGCCGCGCGCTGCTTCCTGACCGCACCAGTGCCAACGCTCGCCCCCGCGGCAATCCTGGCTTAAGGCGTCGCATGAATGAGGGCGTGCACACACAACTCTTCAGGGCACGTCGGCTCATACGTGCACCCGCTTCCCGAGCATTTACACGGAGCAGCTGCACACAACTTGAGCACAACACAGATGAGCTGTTTCCTGCAGCATCAGCAACACACAACGATTTGCATGCTCGGGGACGCGCGTGTTTTTTCTTTCTCACTCAGCGCGCACCAGCTCACATCAGCATGCATGTGAGTTTCACAGCATAAATGCGTGCCCGCTTTATAACTTATAAACAGGTGGCAATGAGCGCGCGCTCCAGACGGATGGGCGAACCGTTTTCATCCGGGGATTCACGCTGCAGTACAGCTCAAACCCCGGTGTGGAGGAACTCTGTGACGTTTTCTGTCATTTCTGAACATATCTCGTCCCCTCTCGCAGAAGCTCAGGAAATTCTGTTTTAAATGTAATTTCTAGAGTCTCAGAAGGAAAGGAAAATGCAAGGTCCCTCTCTCATCACTTCCTGGTCCCAATGAACTGGAAAGATGAGATTTATTCTAGATTGTCAATTTTCTGAACTGTGAGAAACAACACTCCATTATGCGCCTGAGCCGCTCTAATTCTGCTTTATCTGGACACCTGCTGCTGCTGAGCAGTTTGTACAGACAGGTGGCAGCAGTGCAACTCACGTGAACCGGTTGAGTGATATCAGTTGTTTTCCGTCAGCAGACCTACGTCACACATGTCAGTTTCTCACAGAGGCACACACATTTAACAAGCTGTGGGGCCACTGTGGTTCTCCACACAGTAGCTCATTTAAATGTTTTTGGAGTGTCGCACGGGATCTTTGAATGTGACTCAACACTGACCTTGAGCTACAGAATCATCAGGGTTTTTTGATTCACACAGTAAGTGACTGTTGCATACATACTGGCAGGAGATGTATGCGCTCAACCCATGTGCCACATTGTGAGACAGATGCTGTGTGGGGCACACCCAATCTGCTCTCCATTGGAGTAGGGTACATCTCATGTATTCCGAACAAGAGGCGGATGTGATGTCCAAAGACGGTCCTTTGCGGCACGGGGACCTGGGACCTTCCACCCAGAGCTATGGCTCA